TGAATAGTAAATAATGAATAATAAATAATAATAATAATTAATAAATAATAATACAGTAATAATGATAATATTATAACTCACTAATATTATAAACAGAAGTGTGGAGAATGCTGCTATTTTACTTACAAGGCCTAGCTTCTTGATTATGAATGATTAGGCATTGTTGTACAAAAATTTATCTCAAAGCAATAATTCTTCAACTTTGATTTATTGTTTAGATTACAATTTACAAATAGGCCTAGGCTATTTGTTGGTTTGAAGATGACCAGCATATTTTATTTCATAAATTAAAGTTTACGAAGTCATAGGCCTAGAGGCCTAGATACAATTAGAAAACTTTCATGTTATTAATATTTTTATCATTCATTTACAAGCGAAATTAACATATTATCGCCAACGATTCACACTCTGTCTGCACAACCAACCTTTCTCCGCTGCAGTGTTGACTTAGGAGCCTCATGCTATATACAGTAGGCTGCTAGCAAATAGGCCTAGATGATAGACTTTCAAAACAAAAAGATAATCGTAACGAAAAAAAAATAAAGAATCGTCCTCACTTTATCTTCTCAAAATAATACAGCACGTCACTGATTAATTAATTTCAAAGTTAGGTAAATATGATTATACAGTATATGATATTTACAATGATATGTTAAAATCCCATAATTGAATTGTCCTCATGAACAGAATAATGAAAGAAAGTTTATGCATCATCAGTGTTTTATAAAATGTTATAAAGCTATACGCGCGCACGCTGTTTGGTGACAACATGGCGCCCATGCGCCAAGTTGGCCAAACTCTCTCTATCTACGGCTCTGAATACGGATAGAAAAATACGCCCTCAGTCGGGCAGTGTTATCGGTAGATCAGTGATCAAGTTTTATTGCGTAATGCATTAATTAAGTAAGATCAATGGCAACGCAAATCACAAATAAACAATTTTGAACCCATGTTTATAGCAATTAACAGTCAATTAACAATGTTATGTGCACTTTTGAGTTTTGCTTACTTGAATGGACTGAAATATACTTTGTTACTTCTTAATTCTTCCTTGACAAAAATATTTAATTGTCTACCCAAGTATTTGAACGGAATACCCAAGAACCCATGGAAGACCAAGTCAAAATACCCAAGATCTTGGGTAAATACCCAAGCAGTGGTCACACTGGTTGTCTTTTTCTAACGCCGTACGTTGTTCAATTCCAACAAATCACAAGCTTTAAACAGTGCCGAAAGGGCCATACCAGTCAACTGGAAGCACATATCTAGCCCAAAGGTCCACTGATTAATCTCAGATAAGATAATATAAATACATACTCCAAGTATCGAAAAATGCACGCCACCGTGACGGGATTCAATATTTCGATTGTCATCATCAGGAATATCTAGATGAAATGGACTCTCAGACTTAAATTTAAATACAATTTTCGTTTGTTTTTTTTTTAAATAATATTTTTATATTGAAATTTTTTTTTTTAAATAATATTTTTATATTGAAAAATTTAGGGGGACTGGGCTGGCTTCCCCTTCTTGAATCCGCCTATGAACATAGAATACAAATAAAACTCAGCTGTTTCGTTTCTTCATCCTGTTTTGCTGCTGTTGTCAGTGGTCAGTCACGTGCCTTGCATATCGACATCTATCACGTGCATAAACAAAAGAAGGATCGGAAGGAGGAAGTCTATCACGATCCTGCCTTAAGTAAACATTTTGAAAAATGGAAGCGCTAATGAAAAGGTCGATAGTAGCAATATTATTATTTTTTATGAATTGCAATATTCCTTCGCTCTGTTCCGATGAGGATATTTCTGAAGTTCAACCTGAACAAATTCATCTGTCTTTTACTGGTGAGTACGTCGAATACGAAGGCCACACTAACTGGGCAGGCAGCAGGGTAACCTACCGTAACTTAGGCCTATAGAGCCTAGTCGGGGCCACGGACGGTGTACAAGTGAATTACCGTACAAGTACCCATTGCTCTGCAGACTGGCTGGGTATTCAATTCGTAGCCTAACCACAGACCCTATGTATAACCAAACCGTTTGTTTGTATGGTGAGGAATCACCCCAATCAAACCTAAATTTTAATAGCAACAAGTTTAAGGCCATATAAAAAAATTAATTGTTTAGCGTTACATATAACTGGGTATCAAACACAATGTGGGCAACATAAGGGCACATATAGAAAAAATTGTTAGATTATCACTCTTTTTTTAACAAAAATTGATGAGGGAGGGCGGTTTTTTGTTTTTGTTTTTTTGTTTTAATCGGTACAACAATAAATTATTTCGCTTTTGTTTTTATAGATGAGGGAAGGCATGTTTATATTTGGCCTGTACCCAGGCCTGCAATCAAAAGTAAATATTGTATAAAAACTGGTTTAATTTTTATAGTTTTAAAAAGAAAATGTATTTGAAGTCACAAAATTGCATTGTTATTTTATGCTGTTGAAATAATTGATGTGGCAAAAAAAAATTTTTTTTTTATTCCCGCATCGGTATTTCCTGAATTTTTGAAGCGGGCGGGAGTGATAATCTAATTAATCATTTTATTTGCCCTAAGGGCAGTTTGTTTACACAGATATTATTATTACTTATTAGAAATTAGACTAATACTTTGGAAGTACGATGGTTTGGCCTATGCACAAAAGGGGTTGCATAAGCTATAATCTCACACATTCCCACTGAGCATTATACTATTTGTACTTTTCAACATCATTGACAAAGTGAAAATCAAAACAAAGAAATTGTTCCAAAAATTAAATATTTTCAATTTCATTAGAAAACAAAAAAGTGTTAAAATTAATAATTTTCAATAGGCCTACAATATTAAACTATTCACCTGGTTTGTGAAATCAGCATTAATTTTCCTGGACTATATTTTAAGTTCATTATTTTTTTTTAAACAATTCCCGCATTTTTGCTCGAAAATTCAGGTGGGGGTGGGGATGCTAAACAAGTATACAGGGGTCCCAAGTGGTGGAAGTCATTTCCCTGGAGCCATATGATAACTATTCACCTGGTTTGTGAAATCAGCATTTCCTGGACTATATTCATTTTTTTTAAAATTAAAAAACAATTCCCGCATTTATGCTCAAAAATTCATGTGAGGGTGGTGATGTTAAACAACTATACATGGGTCCAAAGTTGTGAAAGTCAAATTCCTGAAGATTTTTTTGTGCAGGACAGGCAGAGGTTTGCGACGTGTGTGCTAAAACGCATGTACAAGGATGCTCATACAATATAAAAACAAAGAGGCTTGGCAGGTTTAGGTCACTGTTAATACCTTCATACTGCCTAGAATGTTCAATAAATCTTGTGTATGCCAGATTTAATGCAAAAGAATGGGAAAGTTTAGCTTAGTATATAAGCACTATTTGTAAAATGTTAAAATCCAGGAGAAATACAAGAAAAATTCAAATTCCAGGAGAAAATGTGGAACTTTGGGAGATGAATCAAAATTCATGGAGACTCCAGGGAGGGGAGAGGTGACAGGGAGCCTGGTTCCCCACACTTTTTTGGTAGAAAGTATAATAGCTATGCAGATTTTTGTATGATCGGCTCACTCGCAATTCCCGTTCATCTTACTAGTGGGCCCCAACCTCCAACGTTCTGCCGGCCCAGATCAGTATTATAATTTATTACTGTATTGATTTTTGTTGCACACATACAATTTCTATTGTAATTACTCTATTTTTACCATGTTGTTTTTTATAAATTTCTGTTTTGTTCATTTGTAAATTGTACATTGTGTTTACGGCCTTGTTGAAAAAGGTGAACAAGTGTTTCTGTAATTAAATAAAGTTTTTACCATTATTGTTATTATTATTATTATTATTATTATTATTAATTATTCATAATCAGTTTTAATTTTTTTGTCTTCATTTCAACTTTTAGGTAATCCAACAGAATTGATGGTCACTTGGAGTACCGAGAACACCACATTAGCAGTGGTTGAATACGGCCAAGATAGGAAGCTTACATTGACTGCTAAAGGATCAACCACCAAGTTTATAAATGGTGGTATACAAAAGAGTACGCAGTATATTCACCGAGTCAAGTTGACTGGCCTTGAACCAGATAAAACATATTGTAAGAAATCCATTAATTTTGTTCGTCTTAGGAATTCATTTTTTATATATTTATTTTTCAAAGAGAGCAGCTTAGCTAAGTCAGCTAAACTGGTGGTATAGTCACTGTGTGTGCGCTGAACCATGGAGATCTATTGGTCTCCGGTTTGATTTCCATTGCTGCTCTCCTTGAGTTCCAGCTGTGGGGCTGAAATGCAAGTTTCAGTAGCGTACCATCTTTCGGATGAAACGTTTAAGCTGTTGGTTTTGTGTGTAATATGGCACATGTGCTTTTTAAAGTATGCAGTAGACTCTTTCAAAAAACAGTAGGGGAATGCCTCCCATATGTACTACCCAACCACCAACAGAAGGACCCAACTAGAAAGAACTTCTTTTTTGGACTTTGGTTCTTCTTTGTGTTTAAACCGATCCAATCCAATAATTATGTCAATACATTTTTAAAATTTAATAAAACAAAGATTATTTCATAAAGATATACTTTTTATTAATTGTATTGATTTATATAATTAAATTTTGGGTTAATTTCTCTTTTAGTTTATCATTGTGGAAGTCCAGATGGATGGAGTGAAATGTTTTGGTTTCAAAGTCAACCCACCGGTAACAAGTGGAGTCCAAAGTTCGCAGTTTACGGAGATCTAGGAAATGTAAATTCTCGATCAATGGGAAGGTTGCAGCACGAGACACAAAGCGGGTACTATGATGCAGTCCTCCATGTGGGTATGTCCATTACATCACACTCTCAATATGTAATAATAATAAAGTTCTTAACCATTCTGAATTGACAGAACAAGTGGTTGTCATTGACTATCAGAGTAGTTGAAAGTCTTCAACTGTGCAAAACAAAAGGAGGACCCTAGAGAAAAAAAAAAAAAAAATTAGACAAAAAAAAAAAAAAAAAAAAAAAAAAAAATTTAAACCATTTATTAATTACATTTGTTATGAAGATATAATGCAAATAAGATGGAAAGAAAACTTACCGTCTCTAACTTATCAAATATTAGCTTACCTTATATTTTCACTTTTAGTTCCTTGTTTTTTTGTTTTCTATTTTAGTATTGGCTAACCGTCTAATAAATCATCTCTTTCACTTTAATTTTGTGCTTCCTTTTTACCTACCTTTTCTTTCTTTCGTCTTTTCTTTTTTTTCTTAAAATTTCCTTTTCTTTCCTCTCCTGGTGTTTTGTATTTTCTATATTTTAGTATTCTTATTTTATTGCACTATGAAAGCAAATGATATTTTCATATACAGTATGGCTAATAAAATTTGATATTATTTATTGCTGCGAAGCAGCCAATTCATATTCTTGACAGCAATTTGACCTCTGAAAGGTCATTGTTTGTCAAAAATCAATCGCCTGAGACAACTGAAAAGCGGAGTTTCCTTCTTTCGTTCTGCCGGGTAAAATCAATTACTTTAAGTGACGTTTGTAGACTAACCTACTCGTACCAACGTGGCATGTCGCGACGCTGGAGTACTATTCAGCGTTTTTACTATACTTCTAGGTTTCCTATTTCTACGTTTAATCGGCTCATGTCTCAGCAACAATATTTTGAGGACAATATTATTTACGAACCCAGTTAAACTTATTTACTAGCCTATTTCAACGTGCTAATTATTACATTTAGGCGACGCTTGTTGTAGACTGGCATAGTGTTTGCAGAAATAAATACCATTTTATACACATGCGCAGATCGATTCCCCAGCAGCGAGTCATCGCCAGCAGCGGCGAGCCGTCGCCAGCAGAGAGATGTCACTGCAGCAAAACACTATTGTACCAACGCTGTTCTAATAATATATAGACAATGGGTCGTGCTCATATTATTTGTTATATTTTTATTATTCATTATTTTCACTTGACTCGCATAAATAATTTTGTTCGAAGAACATTTTATGCAGTTGTACTTCGCAGCACTTCACTTGCAATTTGCAATTTCTAGTTATGTGATTAAATTTATAGGAGATTTTGCATATGATTTGGATTCCCGGAATGGTAAAGTGGGGGACGAATTCATGCGGCAAATCGAGCCAATTGCTGCGTATATACCTTACATGACGTGTGTCGGGAATCATGAAGAAAGATAGTAAGTTCAGAGTCTTTCAAGTAAATCCTTAAATGGACACAATAAAAACTGGTGTATGCCCATATATAGTCATGATGTGCCTATATATGGTCATGATGTGATGTCATCATGACCATATTTAGGCATGTCACATAAAATTTGATAGTCTAAAAAGGGCTTTACATTGCTACCTGTGTATTGCTCACCTGAGCCTGGCACCAGCTGAAAAAATTGCCACTAATTCTGTGTACCAGTGAATTATTTGCCGATGTAGGCTTAGTTTTGATAATGGCTTAATATTAATTGCTCAATAATTCATAAACTAGTGACCTCTAAAGATAATTGTTTTAATTAATTTTTTTCACAGTAATTTTTCTAATTACAAGAATCGATTCACCATGCCAAATTATGAGAAGACAGAGAATCTATGGTATAGGTAGGTAATAACTTGGGAATATGAATATCAAAGTACTGTATAGATATTTATTTTCACGACAATAAAGAATGTAATATCTCAATTTCATCAAAATACTGTTAGTTGTTTTAGTATATATACCAACTTTAAATCACATGTGGCAAACGTACAAGCCAAACCAATCACTCATCGCAAGCCGTGTTTCAGGGGTATAATGGCCTAAGCTTGCCGACATTTAAACATTTTTTAATCTACTTTATTGCACTTAACTAACCTTAACATATCTATACATCATGGTAGGCTGTTATTTTCCCCATTTTCAATGTTAAAACAACAATTTTTAACAATTTTGTGATGGTTTCTGCATGAGAAATGCTGAAAGTCATAAACTTTAAAGGCGGATTTCTCACCTTTTACCATTTTATAGCTCTCATTTTAATCGTTAACCCTGTATTAATAACTAATAATCGATTTTTGCGACGAGTGACTGATTTGGATTGTCTTCACTACATACAATATACTGTATTATGAAGTGCTCAAAGATATAATGTAAAACTCAGGTTAAGATTTATGCTCAGAGATCTTCCAAAGTCCCAGCCACAACCACCACAAAACCTGAATGAAAATCTTTACAATACTGTTACATCACTACAATGGAACATTGTTGCTGGTTACATTGTTCCTGTCCTTCAATGTGCTTTACATACATTTGCTGTGGTGTAACAACTATGAACTCCCAAACTAAGCCCAAGGACCCTTGACATAGTAGAGCTGTGAAAAGGGTCTAGCCAGGGTGCTCCAGTCCTTTACTACAGGTACTACTACTTTACTACTGTACTGTAGATTTGTCTCTACCTAGAAATGCAGTATCTATCTATCAATCAGATCAAGAAGTCTTTATTCTACAAATTAATAAACATCACATAACCTTCCATTTTAAGTGGAATAAATGCGTGCTATGATTATCATGATTTGAATTATTGTAATTACACTGTAAATTAAAATAGTACTGAACTAAAAAATACTTAAAAAGTGGAGAGATATATATTGAAATTGTATACAATAACTGAGATTGCACAAGTGCATAGAGACTAGAGTAATATGCATTATACATACCTAACAAAGTAAATAACAAATAATAACTATTCCCTATGGATTCTTTGTGCAATATTTCCTATGTATTGTATGGTATATGATTATATTACTTGCTTGTTATTCATTTATTTTTATTATTTTTAATACATTTAATTTGTATCAATATTAATTATTATTGTATTATCATTTTGCTTTATTCTGTAGTTGGAACATTGGTCCGGCTCATATTATTGCTTTTTCCACTGAAGTAATATTCTTCCAAGATTATGGTAAATTCCTTATTGATGAACAGATGAAATGGCTAGAACAAGACCTTCAGGTAATTGGTGCATTGTTTAATGAAAAATGTAAACAAAACTAATCAATTTATAATAATGACTTCCCTCTTTTAACAATAATATACCATAAAATCTCAAATATAAGCACAATGGGCTTAATCTCGAGAAGAAGCAATTTCGAAAAATCCCTTTACCAAGGGTCATAAAAAATAAATCACAGAGCTTCTATTCAAGGTTTTATGGTAATATTAAGCTAATGATTATTGATACAGTACAGTAATAGCAATCATCGGATGTAAACTTTATTATTGGTATAGTTATTATAAAACTGATTGTTTTAGTTTCGAAAATCTGGATTTTTAGTGCAGTTTTATATATTAACTTTATAAAATTTTTAACTGTGTTAATAATAAAAATGATTTCCCACTTTTAATAATAATATACCATAAAATCTCAAATATAAGCACAATAGGCTTAATCTCGAGAAGAAGCAATTTCGAAAAGTATCCCTTAATACCAAGGGTCCTAAAAAATAAATCACAGAGCTTCTATTCAAGGTTTTATGGTAATATTATGCTAATGATTATTGATACAGTACAGTAATAGCAATCATCGGATGTAAACTTATAATGCTGGAGATTTGATATATAATTCTATATCAATTCATTTTATTTGTAAATTACAATTATTACAAGATTCTAGCATTCTCACTTCAAAGAACATGCACTTTTTAGTGTATAGTAGTTGCTTATATATTAATTTTATAACATTTTAACCATAATAATAATAATATCCCTCAGTTAAAAATTTAATATAATAATAAATATTAATATAGAGGGCTCCAGAGGATACAATATAGAAGGCTCCAGAGGATACATTTCCTCTGATAATATTAAATGTTTAAAACAAAATCCACAAATTGTGCAATAATTCAATTTTATTTAAATAACTTCGAGACGATATCTCCAAAATTGCAATTGTTTCCTCATTTACTATATACTATGCCAAAGATCAACCCTCTTGGGTTAATCCGCCTCTTTTTGAACTGACAATTTAATTGAGTGCAGTCTCCCTTAATTTGAATGATAGGCCTCTCTCTATTTTTATACTTTTATATATTGGTATATCTTGTATCTTAATGTTTTTGTATGTCAACTCATTTAGCCTTGCGTGCTCCCAGTTTTGGGACACTGTTCTGGCTCTTTATTTGTTTCCTGTATTGTTTTTATGCAATAAAGTGATTTTATATATAGCAATTATTGGATGTAAACTCATAAGCTTTGATATATACCATATTAATTCAGTATATAAATTATTTAATGATCTTTTTAGAAATTATACAGTACCATCTTTAGACTGTTAATGTTGTTATTAAGTAATGTCTATACATTTTAGACTAACCTTACTTGTATAAATATATCCGGACTTTCTGTTTCATGTTTTACAACATCCTTCTCATTTTTTTGTAAACAGGAAGCAAATAAAAATAGAGAGGAACAGCCTTGGATTATTACAATAGGGCATCGTCCAATGTATTGCTCAACCATCATCCTATCTACAGATTGCCACAAAAGGGAAAGTCTGGTACTGTATGACCTTAATATTCATAGTCGTAGAAAAATTATAGAAGTAATAATAATTTTATAACTTTGTCAATTTTAAACAACATTTCTACTTTTTGTATGTTGGAATGACAATTATTAAAAAATATTTTGTAAAGAAAGATGTAATAATTATATTTTCGTATATTTCCAGAATTTTCATAAAATTTAAAATTATGTACATTTAAATGTACATTTAAAAAAACTTTCATTTTTTGTTTAATGCTTAATTATATCAATTATAATTACTGTATCTTTTTTTCTTGGGACTCCTTCTGCAACAAGCCTACCAGCTCTATAAGAGACAGCCCTTAATTTGAATGATAGGCCTCTCTCTATTTTTATACTTTTATATATTGGTATATTTTGTATCTTAATGTTTTTGTATGTCAACTCATTTAGCCTTGCGTGCTCCCAGTTTTGGGACACTGTTCTGGGCTCTTTACTTGTTTCCTGTATTGTTTTTATGCAATAGAGTGATTTTATATATAGCAATTATTGGATGTAAAATCATAAGCTTTGATATATACCCTATTAATTCAGTATATAAATTATTTAATGATCTTTTTAGAAATTATACAGTACCATCTTTAGACTGTTAATGTTGTTATTAAGGAATGTCTATACATTTTAGACTACCTTACTTGTATAAATATATCCGGACATTCTGATTCATGTTTAACAACATCCTTCTCATTTTTTTGTAAACAGGAAGCAAATAAAAATAGAAAGGAACAGCCTTGGATCATTACAATAGGGCATCGTCCAATGTATTGCTCAAATATCAACCTATCTGCAGATTGCCGCAAAAGGGAAAGTCTGGTACTGTATGACCTTAATATTCATAGTCGTAGAAAAATTATAGAAGTAATAATAATTTTGTCAATTTTAAACAACATTTCTACTTTTTGTATGTTGGAATGATAATTATTAAAAAATATTTTGTAAAGAAAGATGTAATAATTATATTTTCGTATATTTCCAGAATTTTCATAAAATTTAAAATTATGTACATTTAAAAAAACTTTCATTTTTTGTTTAATGCTTAATTATATCAATTATAATTACTGTATCTTTTTTTCTTGGGACTCCTTCTGCAACAAGCCTACCAGCTCATTATGTCTTATAGTCAGTGTTTTGCTTTTGTGTATTGAAATGAATTGTTTTTATTAATTTAAATCAATTGTATGTCAAAATGTAAATTTATTAAAATTCATAACAATAAATATTATACTAAACATAAATAGAAATTATTTCACAGTTAGATTAGTGAATAAAAAAAAATCGTCTGAGGGACCAAATGCAATTTTTTAATCAATCACACATTCAAAAAAACGTTAATCAACGTAAAGGGCCCCACTAGAAATTTACTGAGTAAAAAGTTATGGTCAAGTAGCACGACATTTAATCATTGAGCCCCTCCACTTAGCTAGTGGGGGATTCAAGTGGGAGGGGGCTGACCCGGCCCAGGGGCCCGTATCCCCCCCCCCCTCCCTACCAACATTTTTCAAAATTATTAAAAGAAATTAAGGGAAAAAAAATATTAATCAAATTTAGGTCTGAGAGTGCCATCTAGAGGTGCCATAATCATTAATTTTCTTACCTCAGCCCCAACCATGGTGGGGATGAGGTGGTCTAGACTCTCCATCTGTTAAAGTCTCTCCCTGCACCCCTCTATTTTAAATTCCTGAATCTGCCACTGTTATCGTCAATACTTTGAGATACCGCAAAATTGGAAAAGTACATATAGGGCTTGGCATGCTAAAACCAGCATCAGTGAGCAAAAAAACAAATAAATTGATTCTTTATTATAATCATATTCTCCATCAAGCTTTATAAAATCAAAGGTCATTTACCAGGGGCGGATTTTAGGGGGCCACCCCGCCCCGCTTTTTGGGAGGAAGAAAAAAAGAAAAAAATGATAGCTCAGAACGCCTCAAATGTTACTTTCGGGCGTCTAGAACACAAACATTTCACAGGGGCATTCCCCTGGGCCTCGATCGGCCCTACTTTCCGGCCCCCCCCCCCCTTTTTTGGACATCTCTGGATCCACCCCTGTTTACCGTTCTGCAAACTTTGGGTTGCGGAAAAATGTTGATGGGTCGCACTTAATTTTACTTAGTACAAAGACAAACAAAATCAAAATTACAGTAAAGAAATGTGCATAAAAGCATGGCATATGTGTCAGTGTGCGCTTTAGTATTGCATGCCTTATCAATAGTTTAATTTCCAGTAACTATACTTATCAAAGCAATTGTATTTCAGGTATGACGACTTTAAAGTTTTAGTTTTGTTTATTTAAATGCGTTTGACTTTCAGCTTAAAAGTACAACAACATTTTTCTCATCAGTTAAATGTGTCTACTAGTCTTTCAATGACCCATATTTCTGGCAGCAAATTTAAGAATTATTGTAGTAAAGTGTCTGTTAATCATTGATTTTTATCGATCAGTAAATTATTGAAAGATTTGATATCTTATGTGGTTCTGTTTATATGAGAAATTAAAAGTTAAATTAGATGAAGAATCTTTTTTGAATGAATTGGTATCTTTGAATTGGTTGACAAAATCAACTTGACTTGTTTCTTCTGATCTCCGCTATCCCGCGCACGTATAAAACGGTGGACGTAATTTATTGACTTAATTACTCAAACTAAAAAACAAAAAAAAACAAAACAGAACCATATGTAATCATTTTTCCATAACATTCAGATAAAATTTAAACTACTTTATGGGTCCAATGGGTCGCGTCTGAGTGCTTGGCATTTAATTTGGGCTGTGGGCTAAAAAAGCTTGTGGAACAGGATTTATAGGAATCGACTTAGTGTATTAATATTATTGCCATAGTCATGAATAAACAAACGTATTACAGCTTCTGTGTACTAAAGTATACAATACTGGCACATTCTTATGTTAATTACTCAGCGACAATAAATTGGCTTTTAGGATGGCAAACCTCATATAGAGAAGCAGAAAACAAAACAGTTATTTATGCATATATATTAATCTTTTTTTTATTGTATTAAAATGATTTAAAATTCGTTTTCAGATAAAGGCAGCATTTGAAGATTTGTTTTACAAATACGGTAAATATATGGTTTTAATGTTAAATATTTAAATCAAAATATCTTTCGGCTTATGTACATCTGTCTCTTATACACATCTAGATGTGTATAAGAGACAGTATATATATTGTTTTAAAGATTTATATTTTTATACAACTTACAATCACCAATAATAATTTTAACAATATAATAATAATAATAATGAATAATAATAACAAAATAATAACAACAATAATTCTGCAATAATTTTTCTCGTATATGGCTTCTTAATTCCAATCGATTTTTTATATTTTTGTTCTTCATTTTGTGTGTGATTTTGTGAAACTCTGCTATAAACCTTTATATTATCTTGTAATTTTAGGTATATTTTATTCATATTTTGATTTGCTAGTTGTACATTTTATACTCAATTCAGCACTTGTGCTGCCGTGATATTTATAATAAAGATACCTTGATATAAACATGTTTTAAACCTTGATATTTTACCCCTGTTTACCCCCTTCAAGGAGTTGATCTTGAGATTTATGGACATGAGCATGCCTATGAAAGACTTTTCCCAGTTTACAATAGAACGGTAAGTATTTGAAATTATGAAGTTGATTCAAAATTCTATACAGTGGTCCTTTCAATTTGATGAGATCCTTCTAATTCTATACCACTTAACATCAACAATCTTCAATCTTTTAACACAAAGCTTAGCCTCTATGGAGACCAAACCCAGAGACCACCCCAAGGTGATCTCAAAGTGGGGGGGGGGGGAATCTAGTTAGACCAGTTCTAAAAAACAGTACTGTATATTATTTTATTAATATCATTCTCGATATAATTATTAGTAATCATCATCTGTATTGATTGGTTATATTTTCATACCTTTGTTTTTTGTTTCAGGTTTATAATGGCAGTACTGATAATCCATACACTGATCCCAAGGCGCCTGTTCACATTATAACTGGTTCCCCTGTACGTATCATCTGCTGGCTATATATGACTGTTTAAATTATATATTTAGTTTTTAAAAAGTCAAAATCATACATAAGTATAAAGTATAAAAAAACGAAACAATATCCGACCAGGCCTAGAATGAGGAGTAAATATAGAAACTTCATATTACCTGTACACCTGCAAAGTCTTGCGCATGAAAATTCACTTTCTTAGTCACGCGCCTACATTGTATTATCTCACGCATCATAAAAATGTTTAGAGAAAAATATATGGGCTGGTTCTACCCAACAATTTATAAAAATAAAGTGAATTCATCATTAAGATGTGAATATGATATAATTTATTTTAATGTGGCTATTCCTACAGAGGACGCTTTATTTTGTGATTATTACATATAGGGTGCTATATTTGAGTGATTAAAGGTTAAGAGAACTATATACATATAAATTACTTTGTCTCGCACTTTGGTCACCAACAAAGATGGCAGGTATGTCTACCAATACATCAATTAATTAATTATATTAATTATATGTTACCAGCATCCAGAGCACCGGTGGCACCAGAAATTTCCTGACAAGGGGTCCGACATGTCGACGAAGGGGGCCGACTAGAGCCTCGGTCAAATAATAGCCCGGAATAATTTTTACATTTTTTTTTATTTTCAAAAGTTAAAGGGAGGAAGCACCATTAATAAATAAACTTCATAGAGCACAATACTCTGATGCATAAAAATATATTTCTATGTTGAATGAAATTTAGTAAAAATTAAACAATTTTTTTTTTTATGTAGGGAAACAAGGAATTGATAACGCCGCTCTCTGTGAAAAAGATGGAATGGGATGCATTCCGGTCAATGGATTATGGATACAGCAGAATGCACGTACTCAACGAAACACACCTGTATTTTGAACAGGTATCAGACAACCAGGTACATATGCCCTCCTATTAAAAACTGTAGTCAAATGAATGTATGAATGACATACTGTAGATAAACTTATAGTGAAAGTAAATTATGAAGGGTTGTAGATGTGGTAGACATTTTAAGGGTGGGTTTGTGATAACATTGATAAACCCTTAATAACCTTACCTGGATAAACCGATAAATACTTACGTTTCTAAGTTTATTCAGGTAAGTATCTCACTCGTGGACTAACAACATCATTACTGATTTGTTTACTATATAACCTGGTACATTATATATTCTTAATGTGATAAATTAAATTTCTTACTTTTTTTTTTTTTAATCTTCCTGAAAATTGTTGTGTTGGATGTTTTTTAAGTGCTTTAATTAAAAAGGTTTTAAATAATTTTAAAATTTGATTTGTTACATATATTATTTAACTATTATTATATATTATATGTATATTTTTATATTTCTGATGTGTTATCAATTGACTTGCCTTTATAAGTATATAATTTGCTGCCAATAAATATTTGAGTCCCCACAAGGATTCGAACCCAGTATCTTTTGATTAACTTGCAATAATAAACTGTCATAAATATAAACTAAATTATTTGTACAATAGTTAACCTTTCACTGTTTTTTTTTTTTGTTTTTTTTTTTCAGGATGGTAAAGTCATCGACAAGGTGATGATAATCAAGAATGCACATGGGCCTTATAATTAGGTTTATGCTCTCTTCACACTAAAATGTTACCAGGCTTCCTGTGTCTAGATTATCATGTTATACATTTCACTGTACACTTACATTGCATTTTCAAATATTTCAAAATGTAAAGTTCTATTTTTCTAAACCAGTCAATTCAATTAGGAAATAGTATTTTATCAGTAGATATATTTTTTTAATTAGTTTAAATAGTAATAAATTTCCATATAATATAGTTGAGTGTATCATTGCAATGATATTATTAGGATTTATTACTGGAAGAGGGGGACGCTTGAGTGGAAGTCTCTTATACCCCTTTTACACTGCTAAAGTGAGAATAAGCACGTGTTAATTTCAAAATGATACCAGATGCATTTCCATTTACATCGAACGGAAAAGTCCGGTTTGATTCCGAGTTGCTCCCATTTTACACTGGCATCGAATGCGGGTTCAAAAATCATCAAATACTAATAGTATCAAATACTGACCATGGCTGCGGTAGGTGCCATATAATGTCTGACTCCAGAATCAAATTGTTGTTTACACTGGCGACGCCAGGATGTACCCGGGTTGTCCAATGCTGAATGCGTCCCACACATCGAACCTGGGATGTTTCGCAACCCGGGTGGTATTTTTTTGCCACAACTCAGGAGTTTCTAGTTTGCAGTATAAAAGGGGTATAACTTGTGTGAAAGCATAAAGTACCGTAAAACCTTGTATTGAGGCTCTGGGCTGCTTCTTTTTTTTTTTGTGAAATATGGATGGGCTCTTTTCGAGGCTAATTTTGCAAACTAAAGAGAGGGGAGGGGGCTTCAATTCAAGATGGTCTTCTCGAGATATGGCCCATTGGGCTTCAATTCAAGGTTTTACGGTAATGTATTTGAAATGTGCATACAATTCATGTGAATTTTTATTTTATATTCTCTTAAGTAATACAGTATAAACGTGTCTGACAATTTGTCTAAAATCATTTGTCTTAGGTTTCTGTTAACATAGTGGATACATAGGTAAAACAAAAATGATGATGCACACGAGGTGGTTAGTTTCACACAAGGTGCACAGTGATGGACAGTTCTATTGTTTTCAAGGGGTGTTCTATTTAAAAGAACAATAGCAATATTTATGTTTAATACAGGTGCAGAATTAGTGTATTCATTAAATTTACATTAAAAACATTATGAGTGACTAGTTTGAAGAATATTTCCACCAACCTTAATGTTAGCTCTAATACACCTGGTTCTGGAGAAGTCTAAATCTTCATTCAGGAATTCTTTTATAAAAACAAACTCCAACATATAATTTACTATTTTCATTTTTTATAAGTCACCTTTTATTTAAAATATATCAATCCAATTCACACATTTTTATTAACTTACACACACATGAAAATATATGTGTATGTGGACTAGGAACTCAACCAATGACTTTCTTCGCCCCTAATTGTCCCTTCGTGTCTGTGCTACCCGGTAACCCGGTACCAGCAACTCTCGTCGTCCACCACAGGGGCTGTCTGTTCCAGTACACCGGGGTATCCCACTACTTGTCTCGAAGGATGTACTGGGTTCTTTGTGCACACGAGCCATTGTATACACTGGGCCTACGGTTTATAGTCCTTATCCGACAAGACTTGTTCTACCACCAGAACCATAGGCGAGCGTGCCGTTCGAACCAGCACCGATATTATGGCTATAGCTTGCGGCGCCCCTGCTAACCGCTCGGCCATTCGACTCACCATGGTCATATGTATACATACATACATACATAAAATTTTAAAAACAGCAAAATCGAAGATGCATATTGGAGTCATAGAATATGAAGCAATATAATTTAATTCACATATTATCTGCAAATCCAACCTGCATCTACCTTGGTGGTTGGCATCATAGACAAATTAACTTTTATTGGTCTAATATATAAAATATACAGAAATTAGTTTTATTTGTTGTTGACATAATTTAAAGCAATACAATTTATTTCACATGAACATTTCTATATAACCGTAAATGCTTGAATAAATGCTGCAGTGCTTATAAAATTCTTGGAGGCTTCAGTGCGGCGCTAATTCGAGAGCAGTGTTTATAAAAAAAATATTGATGTAGCGTTTTCTATGCCCGTTCCTACGTTCCCTACCTCACATATTCCCGTAGTTCAGTAGTCCTATCATAGGTCCTCGTCATCGTAAATAAACGTTAATAAAGAAATGCTTGTGATTTCATTGTGTTATTTATTCATCTTAACACTGTATACATAGTATTTAAAACCCTGTTTCTCAAAGAAGTGTTTCATTATACACAGGGTAACATATACTCTCGATTAGGCACTGCAGTGGTTATTTGAGAGTGGTGCTTAGCTAAAAAATAAAAATCAGATTTGGCGCGGTGCTTATTCAAAAGCGGCACATATTCGAGCATTTACTGTACTACTTCAGCATATTTATATATAGCACTTTCCCTCAAGTGGAAAGCTACCTTCACCAAGTCTGTGTTCTGTGAATCTCTATGGCAGTGAAACCTAGTCAGTAAAGGTAGAAGACATTACTAAGCTACTTTGGATAGATATGTGCAGCCTTCATTTGATAGCACACGTCAGCCTAAAGGACAGAAAATTATCAACAGATCCGCTTGGCAGTTTCAACCTACCTTCGTTTTTATTTCAGTTTGAACGCACCAAATCATTTTTGAGTGCCACTGATCTAAAGGTGTACGGTCTAATAAATATTATTATAATGCCATTCAGAATGTTTATCAATTAAAATACTGAACTGATGTACTCTTCTGATTTAATGTATAATAATAATTTGTAGGTTTATGTCATTACTATATGTTGTGATACTGTAATCATTTACACTGTTTATCATTAATACAGTACTGTACTATGATGTTACATATTGTCTAGCTGTGCATTGATTAAAATTGTTTTTGCTTGTATTGCATTTGTATTTACACTGATATTACAGTTTACAGAACATTATGCTTATGCATGTTATTACATCTATTCTGGCTGTTAATTTATTCATCTTCATTTTAAATACTAAAATTCTGATTTATGATTACACACCGATTTACTCACAGAATTTAAATGTAAATGTTTATTGCTATTTACGGTATTTCATTTTCATAAATGTTATTGACTGATTTTGTTTCTCTGGTTTAATCCTTTGTAGAATTGAATAAAAGTTCATCTAGCTATTTATACTGGAGTTATCTCAATACTTTCTCTCCACGTCTGAGCCGATCCCTGGTTCGTTCAGTAGTATAATATGTTTGAATCTAATATTTATCATTGCAAAGTGCCCTAATTTTTATAATTAAATAATTTTTTTACACAATCACAGATGCATAACGTTAATATGAGGTATCTAATATATAATTTTTAAAAATATGTTAAAACAGATAGTGCAAGCATATTACATATAAAATAGTAATGTATTTTAAACTCCAACCTACACAGCTAAGAAATATATTTTAAAAACTTAGCATAATTTAAAATAGAGTTATAAGATAGTCTAGAGATGAAAAAGAAAAGAAAAGTAGGAAATGAAAAAAAGGAAGTAAAGAGAAGGAAACAAATAAAAGTGAGCAAGTTTAAAAGAGTAATCACTCACTGTTTCAATTGATTTAAGTTTGTAGTGATAATTTTTGTTTGAGGTTAACAAAAACCTGGGTACAATAGGTATATTTGGTGTAATAAATTAGTTAATGTTATCATCAATTCCATGCTTCAGGTCCATGTTTTTCCTTTATAATCCAGATGTCATCAATAATTTTGCCATTCTGTAAACATTAATATAATTATGCGTTTTAATGGAATTAATTATGATAGCTATCATTTCATTACTACAAGCCTTTACATCCATACTTATAAACAAAAACATTAATAATAATAATAATAATATTTATTTATATATTTATTTAAGTTTCAATAATAAAAATAATACTATGTTAGACTTTATATAATGCTTTATACCAACATGGCCTCTAAGTGCCCAACCGCCATAAATTGATGAATGCGAGAAAAAAAAATTCATAATATGATATATTTTGATATACAAATTAAATGTATAATGTAAAAACAACAAAAAACAATGTATGTAGCAAACAAGTGGTAGCTACTGTGTGTACACTGGGTCAGAAGATCTATGAAAAACACAAATGCCAATAACATCCTTAAAACAAAACAAATAATCTGCGCTGGAAGAAGTGTGCGGCCGTGCTACTGGCATTTGAAGGTATATTGCACATCTCGCCAGAGGCTTTTTAATTTATTGATTTAAAAGCACAATTTTTCTTTTGGCTTTTGCCAAGCACTGCTGGGCTATAGCGTATACAGTAGATAACATTGGATGCTGGAGGCAGTTTATAAAGATAATTTTCATGACAAAATTTTTATTTTCCAGAGCTAAAATAATAATATGTAGAACTGTCACTAATTGGACTGAATTTCTTCAGTGTGATACAAAAAAAAAAAAAACCTACAAAAGTCCTATGACATATTTAAAGTCCTACGACATATTTCCAGTGGGGTCCATCTGGTGAATTGGGCAGTACAGTGGGAGACAATTCCCTACTCTATTAACATGCAGTACCAGTCATTTTGCACACGGGACCAGCGGCTTAAATGTTTCATCCCAAAGATGGTGCAGTTTAGACACTTGCATTTCAGCCCTGCTGCTAAAATCTCCACGGTTCAGCGCACACACAGTGGCTACCACCAGTTTAGCCAACTGAGCTAAGCTGCTCTTACCTAAGCTAGCTGCTCTCACCTGAGCCTAAGTGCTAAGTGAAACATACCTTATCATCGGATACCTGCTCCAAGTAAAGGTGAGTTCTGTTTGTTATCGTCATCCTTGTGTAGCCATAATCCTGAGAACGGAAACCATCCCAGGGAGCTGGGGTCGGGGTGAATGGATCATGTCTTTCTTTACACCCCTGTACAGAACAAACAATTATTCAAAAATTAGATATTTAATATGACTCTCAAAGCAAAAACGTGGTTTGGCACAGGGAAAATAGTTTAGTTTCCCAACCACATGAATGTGGTTTGAATTTCTTGCTGTGCATTTTGCTTGTGTCTTTAAACAAGACATTTCAATATCTGTATTACTTCTCTCCAATCAGGAGAATAAATGGGTACCTGGTGGGGTTGCTTGCTCCTGTGCTGATTACAGCAGCAACAATTAGCATGTAGATGCAATTATTTTGAAAAAAAAAGTGCTTTGCATCTGAAAAGAAAGTGCTATTATAAACAAATAAAAAAAGAAGTAAATGAATAAAAAATGGATAAAAAGACATTTTTTTTTTGCGTATTTCTTAATATATGTTTACAGTTATATTAAATATATTATTCTTTTTCTGTTTACTTTATGTAACCAATAACATATTTAAAAATTAATTGTTGTTGCTTAGTGAAAAAAGAAAATAAAATTATCTTACAGCTGAGCCAGTGATGATGTGTACAGGTGCCTTGGGGTTTGTGTAAGGGGCATCGGCGCTACCACTCATCACCTAGAAGTTAAAATGTAGAAGATAACCAGGTTAAAAAATGTAACAAAACAAAATGTCATTGTAGTGTCCTTCAGAGTCTCAATATTTAATGCTGCTGTATACGCTGCCTAAAGTTTTTCCCTGAGCAATGAGACGTGGCGTGCACTTTATAACCTCAAAGAAAAGGAGCATTATAAAATGCCTGCCCCAGTACTAGTACTGCTTCAAAATAATTAAAATGGTCTATTACGATGTTCTTAATTTAGACAAGGTGCTGCTACCTACAGCCTTAACCCTTTCCAGTCTGCCCCATTACCATTGCCTGAGGCTGTACCAAAGCTGGGAAATTACATCATCTACACTAAATGTCGGGTTTTTACTGGGTGCAGGCATTTTATTTGGTCTAAATACAGGAGGCCCTCTACAGAAATACTCCTACATCACACTCAAAAAATCCTATAGAGGGCAGCCTAGCTATAAAATAATTATCATGAAAGCTATACAGGGCGTACGTACGATGCCCCTCACTATAAAGTATGGTCGAAGAGGGCGTCGTCGTCAAGAACAATTGACGTTGCTAGTTTATGGGTAATTCCTTTATCTCTACCTTGAACATTACCTTTGTAGTCTACCCAGCTAGTATAGTTTTGCTTAGGAATTCTGCCCATATGTTATTTTCACTTATTCAAACAGAGGATTTTCTCACTGTTCTTGTACACAACATACTGTAAAACCTCAAATGGAAGCCCAATGGGCTTATTCTCGAGAAGCCCATCCCAAATTGAAGCCCCCTCTTTAATTTACAAAATTTGCCTTGAAAAGAAGTCCATCTTCTTTGAGATACAGTAGCACAGAAACTTGAAAATAAACAATTAAAAACACACTTGGTTTATACAGATTGGTGACTTAATGCTGGATTAACATACTCCATGATACAGACTGATGTTACAGTGGCCCTAATCTTATAGTAGTAACTCCCTAAATCTACAGCATTCATTTTGAAAAGAAGCCCCTCTCTTTATTTTGCAAAATTAGCCTTGAAAAGAACCCATCTTGGAAAGAAGCCCATTTAAAGTTCGCAAAAAACAAAAAAGCCCAGGGCTTCTATTTAAGGTATTACAGTATACTATCAAATTGTAGTACTGTTAGGCCTATACGTTTCAATGTTAAGGTCATTTAGACCCACCAATTGGTGCACAAGATCAAAAATAAGCAGCTTGCTGCACCATATTATCAAGTTGTCTTTACCGAGTACCGTTCGTGTTTATTTATCAGCGGGAAATTTTCCCTAGTAATATCACTACTGAAATAACAGATCATGTGATGTCAAATCCATGCACCAATCAAATTTCACCTGTAAATTTTAAGGACATACCTTTCCCTTGTAAACAGGTAAAAGCCTCTCATAGGTGTGTTCGTGTGCCCACAGTTCAACATCTACACCTGAAATTTAAGAAAAAAATTTAATTAACTAATTAGTTCCTCAAGACAGAGTGCTGCAAAACATTACCAATTATGCACTGTTTCAAGTGGATAAATAATACTGCACCACCATATTTGATTGATTATCTATTAGTTCATTGTCCATCTCACAGAATAAAATCCTGCAGTATCACGACATTGGTATAAGCCAACCTTCATTGAACATAATATTGATCCTTTTTTTTTTTTTTTTTTTGAAAGGGGGCGGGGGGTGGTTGCTTATACCCGGAAAAATACATACACATGATGTGGGCTTATATCTGAGGAACTAAAGATTGTTATAAAATGTTGACAATACTTAGGCTACGTTCACACCTGAGAGATACGCCAGGCCTATCTAACGCCTTGCATACCCTTAATCCATGGTATAACTAGCATAATGCTAGCGTAAATATTTGCGCGAAATTTTCATATTCGTAATCACACATTTTATTTCTTGTTTACGTCTAGGCTTATTGTGATTGGTCAAATCCTGGCTAAGTTCAAAATCATTGATGCATGACTGTCGTAACTCAGCGGCGTATGATAATCTGGGTCTGTTGGTGGATTATGGTACACAGTGATTGCACGTTAATACTGGCGTTTGATATGAGCATACACGTTCACACCACTGAATTAACGTTAACTCGTTGCGACTGAACATAGCCTAATACAGAGCTTCATGCCACCAAGGCCTCTAAGTACTTCACTTGTCATTGGATCAATAATACTTAAACATTTATTAATGAGTAAATAATAATTACCATAGTTATAAAAAAGTTCTTCAAGCTCATACCCTATCTGTGAAAAGAATAACAAGTATTTAATTTAGGTGTTACTTCTATTTTAATTAAATAAAAAATAATCAAAAAATATACTACTCTATGTACAATTAACTGCACAGAAATAGTATGTAATGTTTTGAGCAAGGCTGGAGAGATTTAATCAGCTAAAAGGATTGGCAAAAATGGGAATTTGTCCAGACAATAAAAATATCATTTGATGAAAACATGTGAGATGTCTAAATATGGTCATAATTACATCACATGACCATATATAGGCACATCATGACTATATATAAG